TCGAGGAACTTGAAACACAAGGAACAGTCATAAGCCTTCTTAGTGTTGTAACAGGATTGTTCTAAAATGGTAAAATGGTTCCATGCAGGATCAGAAAAACATTTTTAATACTATTTTTAATCCTATTTAATACTATTCTTTCCCACTGAAAGAATGGAGTGGCAGTCCAGGACAATTTTTGTATCATATTATAACTACCATTTTATTTAAGTAATTACTAATTTACCTAGCATTCTTAAAAGTCAAGTGTGGATAAGCTAGCTAACCAACCAACATCATCAATTCTCATCAGCAGTTTTTAACAGCATTAAATTAAACCACAGCTGGTAACTGAAAATATCAAAAGATTAACATTCTTGAGTTGGTATGAGTTTTTAATACTAATCATAAGCAGTCCTAAAATTACGTGAATAACTGTTATAATAACTTAATAAGAAGCAGTTTTCATGACAAAGTCCCACTCAGACTCTTTCTTGTTCAAAAGAGAATTATAACATCAAACACTTTCACCACAATTATTTCTATAGGTGACATTTGAGATGATAGAACCATTGAAGCCAGGTTCTTTTGATCACGAAGGTCAAAACGTTTCTCCTTGCTCTGAAACCTGCTGTGTTGTATCTTATCAGAGTCCTTCCCATCCCCTGCTCGCACCTCAGCCAAGTGCTGCAGAACGGAAAAGCACGTTATTTTAAGCCTTACCTTCAGATAGGATCCATAATATTTGGTTACATATGGACTGTCACACTGACTCAGCACTGTGATTTCTTGTTGAATGTCCTCTATCTCATCTTCAGCTTCTTCCAGATCAATGATCTTTATGGCAACCACTTTCTGAGTCCGATTGTCAATGCCTTTGAACACCTCGCCAAAGGAGCCCTTCCCAATTTTCTCTAGTTTTGTAAAAAGCTCTTCTGGATCTGCCTTTAGGTTCTGTAGAGAGAAGGAAGAGAAAAGGGAAACTTCAGTCCCTCACAGCACCACGACTCCTTTGTCATTTTATATGTAATGTTATAGACCACACAGTCTTCCAGGGACTCATCTATTTTCTCTGTCCAGCCATCAGGCTGGTGGTGACCACAGCTCTGCAGGTTCAGGGCATAAGATTCCTAGGTCTCATCTACACATGCACATCAGACTATGAAAGAGAGCAAGCATCCAGTAAGAACAATTACCCAGCTAGATTAGAAAACATGGAAAAGATGCCAACTCTTGTATAATGAGAGTAAATTAAAATCTAAGCGCTTATTTGAACACGTTAGGATACATAGATTTAATGAAAAATCACTCTTGTCTAAGCAAAAATTCACTTTTCTCCCCACAAGTTCCGGAATTCAAATGGATTTTTACTAAAATGTTAACCAGCTATATCACAGAATAGAAAAAAAATGTATACCGTAAGTATGCCTCTTCATGAATAGTACTGCCTTCACCAAAATGCTAACAATCTAACCAGATTCCAGAAAACAATAAGCAGCCTGTTTCCTTTTGTCACATAAACGCTGTACCCCAGAAATAGCCTCTAAAAGCTCTTAACCACCTGATTAGTTACACACACATATGTAGTATACAGTTCCAAGAAGGCTAGCTGTCAGAGTTCAAGCTCTCATCCTAACAGCTACACGGTACAGAGTCGTGTGAACAGCCGAGTTCTCAAGGGCGGCAGTAACCGGTCATCCACAGGGCCTGTCTGTCAGGAAACTGAGAAGCGATCCTGATGTTTAGCAAGGCAAGACAGGGACGCTGCACATCTCCCCACAAATAACTGCACAGCCCAAAATGCCAACGGCACCCTGGTGACAAGCAATAGCCTGGAACCCCACAGAGCAAGGAAGGACTCTAAGAACTGCCACCGCTGCAGACACATCTTCCCTCAGAAATGGTCCATAGGAGGAAGAGAATGCCAGGCCAACCCTCCAAATCTGTCAGTCCTTTGAAGAAGCTGAACTACTAGGGAAAGCAACAAGCACACAGGGAGGAGAGGGAGGCCTGAGAAGGAGGTAAAGAAAGAGAACGAGGAGAAAGATGACACAGAAGAGGGTATCCACAGAGCAGTGCATGTGAGGTGGGTCACACGCACAGCACTATGGCAACAGCAGTGCATCATGAGTGAGGCCAGCCTCCGGGGCCATCAGGGGCTACCCAGCCACAGCTCTCCAAGGTGAGACACACGGAGTTCCGAGCAGCTACTCTCCAAGAGAACTGCTGAAAGCCAGTCAGCCCATTTCTGGTTTGCAGGCCTTACTGTGCTACAGCGTGTCCACCATGGCAACAACGCACATATCATGACAATGACACATGAGCAGATAGCCACAGTGACCTCCTGCACACAGGGGAGCAGTGCCCCTGCCCCATGTTGGTTTGAGGCTGCACATCAAACAACGCAAAAGCTCACAAAACCCACCAACCATCTTAGTACAAAATGAACCAAGTAAGGCTTGTGTGCTGGACATATACCCAATGGGAAACACGTCCTGGGGTTACCAAGAGAGCAGGACAGGCCAGAGGCCAGGCACTGAGCGCTCGGCCCACACCGGAAGGTCATGGCCAGCGTAATCCGAGGTCTAACGAGCTGCCAGGGATTACAAGGACTACAGTTTTAGCCATGATCCCCCTTGGCTCCTAAAAAGCTACACAAACGACCGTTGTGTTAAAAATGAAACTATCTATCCAACTTCGTTTCCACTTAAAGTACTGCACTAAACATATCAATTGGGTGATTAATCAAGAGGCATTTAATTTTTTTTCCTGAACAGTTGCTAAACTGTTTTCAGTCATGGCACTACATTTCAAACATCTTAAGACAGTCATACTTAGGAGGAAGCCTGGCTGTGTACTTACAGGTTTTAAAAACATAGTCCAAGACCCCTGGGTATACCAAGATAGTCAATGACCCACAGTCAGAGCCCAGGATAATTTCCTCAAGTGAAGACTGTTTTCGGAGCTAGTGAGCAGCCCTACAATATCTTCCGCTTCCTATGTTCAAGCTTGTCAATACCCCAGTTGAGTATCACCAGTCACTTTTGGGAATGCCACAGAATGCCCGGGTGGGTACCTCCCATCTGACTCACCCTGCACGCGGCCTTGAGCCTGCACCTCCACCTCCTCTAACACAAGCTGCTAGGATGAGAAGCTTTTGGGGATGCGGGGGAAGCAGCGCTCATCTCCTTTTTTAGCTATAATGAAACATACCCCGTTTTCGGCAGCTACTATCTTCGTTGCTTTCATGCCCTCTCCCTTACCGTGCTCCCTCCAGGGTGAGGTAGGGCGGCCCTCCTTTTATTCAAGGCCAGTCCCCAAAGCTGGGCTCTGGAGTCCATCCTTCTCTCCTCCAGGATACGGCTTCGTCAGTAAACCCCTTCTCGGCTCCTTCTTCCATTCACCCCTCTCTGCTGGCTCTCTGCCCTTGGCAACATGCTCCAGTTTCTCCCATTTAAAACAAACGACAGTACCCTCCCTAACCCATAAGCCCTCCTCCTCCACTCTCTCCTTCCTCTGGAGTCCCGTCAAAGTCATCTGGACCTGCCTGGTCCTCCCCACCACTGCAGCCTGGCTCCGCTCTGGCTCCGGTCACCGGTGCTGCAGTGTCGTGTCTGAGCCTCGTCAACCACGCCCTCCCCCTCCTCTGGGTAACTTTCCAGTCCTTCAGCATCCACAGCCCTGCTCCCGCTGGCTTCTTCCAGTCCCCCTAGTTCCAGAAAGATCTTCACAGAGATTCCACCTTGACTCCACCTTGTCTGGCCCTTACTCCAGGTCCCAGCCTGGGCCTCTACTCCTTCTCCCCACAGGTGCCCAGTAGTTTCAGGGTCTGGGGCCCTCGTTTCCCAAACCTGGGACATCTGACATTCTTGCAGAAACATATGGGAGTTGAGAAGAGAACAAGGTGAATAACCCATGTTTTTAAAACACCCCAATGGATTCTGGTCAATCACCACCTTGAAGGAAAGGCTGTGATCAAGACTCATGTATATGACAGCTTTCAAAGCGCTAGCTCAGGCCTGCCTTCTGAACCGGAACCCCCCGGACCAGCTGCTTCCCAGGCATTCTCTCTTTCTACCCAGACATCTCAAGCTCAACATGTGTGCACGGAATTCGCCGCTTCCCCTGCTGGATGTCGTCCCACAGTCGCCCTCTGCTCTGCGCTGTCTCCTTTGCTCAGCTGCAAGCTGAGGAGTCAGGGGCTGTGTCTCATGCACCTCTACACTCCTGTGCCCGGGTATAACAAGTGGCATGGGACTGTGGTCAGGAAATGTCCCCTGAGCAATAAGAAAACCCCAGACTCACCCTGGCTTGAACAGGACACAGACGAGACACCTCAAAGGCTATCCTACACACAGACAGGGGGCCCTGGAGGGAAGGGGCAGCCCTTCCTGCCGACAAGGGTGAGGGGGTGGTAAGAGCCTGCCTTCCTGAGGTCAGGAGAGCCGGTTAGCACTGTCATTCCTGGGAGTGGTGATTCTCAGACCTGGGTGAGCCTCACATTCCCCTGGAAGGCCACAGAGCCCTACCCCACCAAGTTTCTGATTCAGTCAACTGGGGGTGGGCCCAAGAATTGGAATCTTGGGGCGGGGGGGAGATGCTGCTGGTCCAGGGACCACACCTGGAGAACCACCGCTCGGCACAGGCTGGGACAGGAGGCCAGGCAGCCCCCACAAGGGACATGCCACTAAAACACCATCATGCTAGGTCAGCTGACCACCCCCCTCCAGTAACCGTCCGGCTCCCATACTAAGAAAACAGTGGCCTTTGCTTTCTGAGACTTAATTTTAAAAGTAGGCAACAAGAATGTATCCAAACCCTTACCATGTTGCTGACCCTGTGGGAGACTGTTACAAAAAGAACCACCCACAAATCCCACCTCTCTGGGTCCACACCCCTATGAGTGTGACTTGGACACTCCCCCCAGCAAGAGACAGTGGCTGCCTCCGTGGCCCTTGAACCTGGGCTAGTCTTGCTTTGTGTTCTGATGAATATAATCTAAGCAAGGCCCCAAGAGGACTCGCAGAGCTCCCTCCGCAGAGGGACGTGACCACGAGGCAGGGGAAAGCAGGCAATCGAAAATGGTGTGGTCAGAAAGACAATGACATCTGCCCACTTCCTGGACCCCAGCTGAGGTCTCAGGATGTGCCTCAAGTCATCCTGGGCCACCTGGCCTCAACCATGCCATTAGCTGACTGCAGAGAGCCCAGGAAAGGCCAGCAAAACTGCTCAATCCACAGAATCACGAGAAATCGTGAGCCTGCTGTTTTGGCCACTCGGTTTTGGTTGGCTTGCTACTCAACAATAGGCAACTAATACAAAAACTGATGCTAGAAGCTGGGCACTGCCCCAGCGGAGGCCCTGACAGCCCATGCTTGGCTCTAGGTCAGAACTGCTGCGGCCCATCTGTTGTGAGATGCCTCCATCCCTGCCCTCTTTGAAGAGGAGTCTCTGCGGCTGGCCCACTCTTCCTGTCCCACAACTCTTGTTGAGCTGAATCAAGAGCTGGCAGCCCGTCCACACCCAGCCCAAAGCAGGCAGGGCACGCAGACCTTGAGTCGGACGCCGTGCCAGGAGGGAAGTGGGGAGATGCTGGAGGGAAGAGTCTCTCTCGCATGTGTAAGGGACATGAACCCTGGGGACCGGAAGGCAACCTTGTGGACTGTTACAATAATGGCACTAATAACCCATCCCTTGTGTCTACACCCCCCCCAAGACTTTGCCCACTGCTCCCATAGGAGCAGCCCACACCTTGAATCACCTGGCCTGTGGTTCCTGAGCTGGTGCACCATCTCCAAGGTCAAGCCTCAAGGGGGCCCCGCAGTGCTCTGCCTCTTGGAAGGCCTCCATCAGCAGCATGTGAAGAGGCCTGTCCTAGCCACTGGAGAGGCCACATGGAGGACACCAAGGCACTGGCTAAACATGCAGCCAACTGCTAGACCTGGGGTGAGACG